TTTTGTTGTTTCTCATGTCTGTGGGTATTTTTTGTTAATAGTGAAATCCAATATGTTGAGTCCACTACAAGACATTTAAAGAAGAGAATTTCAGAGCATTTAAGAGATTCTAGCAATCCAGATGCTGCATACCTTTTAATGTGTCTATGGTTTTTTCTGTCTGTACATGAAGGGGAAACATCACAGTCTGGAAACAGAGAAAGTATTATTCAATGCTGAATGCTTGGGGGGATTTAAAGAAGAAGTGGTTAAACCATACTTTTCATATTAGAAACTCTTCACCATAAATTGAACAATTATTTACTTACCTCTTGATTTCAGAGAGTTATGATTTTCAGAGAGTTAAGATAGTACCAATACGGCCCCTTTCACATGGGCGCTGATCAGGAGGCATTCATGGAGTTCCTCCTGATTGGAGCAGTACAGATCGGATGTCTGCCGGGCCCCATGTTGGTCATGGGGAATTGGATGTAAAAAGACATGTCCATTTACATCAGATTACCCCCAATCTAGCACAATCAGGTTTAGCAAAACTGAACACTTTTTTCTTTGTTTTTCCAGACCAGGCCGGGGTCAGAGGTAACCAGGTGTAACCGGACGATGGACCGTTTAGATCCTGCTGCCCATAGACTAGCATTGGGCATCTGATCTGGTCCATCTGAAAAACTGACGGGACCGCCCGTGTGAAAGGGGCCTAAGACAGTGAAGATAATTAGTTTGCTACAATATTGCAATCCTAAAGCTGTTAGAAATTAAAATTGTTACATTTATAAGAGTTTACATACAAGTGGTGCCCAGCTTTTACATAATTTAGGTTAAGGTTTTATGAGGGTTTTAAGATTAGGAAGTGCTTCAAACTGAATAGACAATCAATCGCTATGGGGCCCTGGGCACAAGGGGGCCCCGGCCCCCTAGGTCGCTATGGCATCGCAGGCTGCTTGCTGTCACTGGTGGCTGTGAGGAGGAACGCGCCACTGTCCGGATCACTGACAACCTGTCAGTGAGCTGTGCAGTGGCGCGTTTCTCCTCACAGCCGCTGATGAGTCAGTGACAGCCAGCAGCTTGCGGTGGAGGAGACGGGGGCCCTGGCAGCGGTGGAGAAGGAGGAAGAGGCCAGGTCCCGGCGGCGGTGGAGGGGCCCGCCAACGACTGAGGAGGAAACGGGCCAGGTGGTGGCGAAGGCTGACAGTGGATCAGGCCTGATAGGTAAGAGGCGTGCAGGGGTGTGACCAGCCCACCTGAGACCCTGCAGAGCCCACCATAGAGAGTCTATGGTGGGCTCTGCAGGGTCACTCTCAGATGGGCTCTGCAAGGGGCGTAACTAGAAATCACAGGGCCCCATACAAAATTTTGCTATGGGGCTCTGTGATTTTTAGTTAAGCACATACAATCAAGACAGTGTTTTATTATGTGCTGCCAGAAGTTCTGTTACCACTGTATAAAAAGCTTGTCATTTGTTTTAAATCTTGCTTAAAAAAGGAATATGTTGTGTAAAAAGTGTTGCCATCAATAAAAGGACTCAGATTGCTGACCATTTAATTGCTCATTACTTGAAAGAAAACCTGGTACAAACTGGTACATGCCACAGTAAATGTATGCATATGTTATATAATGGTTATATTCTGGTTAAATAAGGCTGTTGGATCTAATGATCAGCTGCCCAGCTATTAGAGAGACTCAAAGCTGGCATTAAAACATGTGGCTTAGATAAGCCTGTTTAAAATAATGTTTTCTTGCCTTTATAAGGTTGAATTACTCCTAAAGCTTTTGGTAATCAATTATTGCTTCATCTTTGGCGGTTTTTAATCTCTGTGTGTACTCTGTTGTTACACTTTCTGGGAAAGGGCAAAAGGTGTCTAGAGCTGAGCGTTGCAATTTACTTTTAAAGATTCACTGCTGTGTCTGCATGTGTAGATAACCCCACATATGTGAATTGGGAGTGCCTGAAGCAGAGTGACAATACAGTATGCACCAAGATGGTAACAGATAACTAGTGTAACTGAGATAACTGGACTGTGCATGCAATGGGGTTGATTTACTAAAGAAACAGAGGATATTCATGTAGCAAAGTGAATGTTCCCTCAGCTTAGTAAATATAGGGGTCTATTCACTAAGCTGCCATAGGCAGTCGAGTGACTAACCGACCCTAAGCGAGGTGAGCTGAACGCTGTTCGGCTATTCACTTCAGGCTGGTGCGGCTGATTCCAGCCGTATATCGGCTGAAATTAGCCGTACATCGGGTGGCTTTGGCTGGCTTCGGGTTGGCCGAACATGCTCAGCATGTTCGGCTGATCCGAAGTGCAGAAGGAGTTCGACTCAGCCGATCCAACAACTGGATCGGCTAAGCCGAAGCTCCGGCAGGCTACTCACTGCTGTTCGGCTTATTCTCATAGATGCCGAACAGCAGTGAGTGAATAGCCGAATGCTGCTGAGCGGCATTCGGCTCGGCTGTTCTGCTCGGTACCTCAGAGGGACCAGGTAGAATAGAAAAAAAGTTAAAAAAGTAGTAAAAAATGAAATAGAAAACGATTGTGCGGAGCTAGCAGTGACAGTCAGTAGCAGGGTGTCGGCCGGCCAATGGCCGACCGTTTGGCGGGATTCGGCTTTCACCTCGACTGAGCCGCTCGGCCAAATTCGGGAGCTGTACGGGCTATAGTGAATAGCCCGTGCAGCAGCCCTTCGGTTCTACTGAACCGAAGGGGTCCTGGGGCCGAAGCTAGCCGTAGGATCAGCCGAAGCTACGGCTAGATCCTTCGGCAGCTTAGTGAATAGACCCCATAGTATAGCTGTGTTCACCAACTCACATGATTGGAGTGAATGCAACTTCACCTTATTGACTTAGCTGAACATTCTCTTTTTAATGTAAAAATTCTTTACTCCTTCAAGCTGAACTGGAGGCAGATGTAAACAAAATACTTTTTAGTCCCTGTTCACACCTAGGTGTTTTGTCACTCAATGCTAAGCGTGACAAAACTCTCAACACAAGAAATCCAATTTATTTCAATGGCTCCTGTTAACACCTGAGAGTTTTGTCGCAAGCTGTAAAATGGCAAAACGCTAGAAAAAGTACACAAGCTTTTTGTGACAGATTACAACATGTTTGGCTGCATAGGCTTTTATGGAAATGCGCAACATAAGCGTTTTGCACATTTTGGCGTGTTTTTGAGCATGTTTGTTTATTCACTGCAATACATTTCAATCTGCTCAATATATTCGTGTCTTCCTGTAGGCGCATCGAATACGCGCAAAAATGTGCAAAACGCGTTAAACACGCTAGACGAGAGGCTAAACATAGTACATGCTAATATGCGTAATAACGCTGATGCCTAGATGGAAATGGAGCCTAAAAGCTGAATTCCAGTCAGGAATGCCCCCCTCAACTATACCCCTAACCCCCTCTAGCAAAATACCCTAATGTTTTAAAAAGGACATTATTCTAAATGCTCCCAATGCAGTCCTAAATCCATGGTCATGTGACACATTAGGTCCCTAGTGTGCTTATGCCCATGGTGTCCATGTCGCTGCCTGGTGACTTAGACACTTCCTATTCTGTCCATTGGTGGGGGTCTTCATAGTGTCCTGAAGACTGCTGTAATGGTGCAGAGACATTACAACAAGGGGCAACAAGGTAGTGGAGCACTCAGGACTGAAGTGGAATGCAGCCTAAAATTGTAAATACATCTGGGAGATTACGCGGGAGCTTACTGACCACTAAAATAAGTACCTATGACGTTAAAATGGTGAAAACTATTTGGTGAAGAGCTTCAATACTGCATGCATTTTCACTCCTAATACATTGGGCGAAAGTATATAGAAAAGATAAACTTTTTGCCTTTGGAAATTAAACGCAGAACATTTCAGTAATGAGGCAGAAACTCTACAAAGTGAGCAGCTAAGGTTTATATTAAGTAAGTTCTCATTTGAATATTGGGGATCCAGAGAGGAGCGATGCAAACATGATGAATTGAAAAATCAAACCTAGGACTTTACAGTAACACTGTACCACCTCTAGAGAGTAACTATGATGATGATGATGATGATGATGCCAAGCATATTCAAATTAGAAGTTAGTGACCCAAAGGGGATTATGAAAAATTACAATTTGGATGAATAATATTAAGGATCCTACTGTTACTAGGCAACATATCTATTGAACAAAGCACAAAGGATAGTAAGAGAGACCATGCCAAGAAGACACAGATTTCAATGACAGAAATATAATGCTTTTGAGGTTTAAAATCAGGCTCTTTGAGCTTGCAGGTAGTTACTTTGCTGACTGATAAACATTGGGAGAGTGCAAACTATGACCATACGCATTTCCAGTATTTCCGAACTCTGGGGTCCTCAGCGTTAATCACTCTTTTATTTCTACATCAACATTTCAATAGACCTTTAAGTAATCTTATATAAGTGTCTTCTAAATATCTGATATCTCTATATCTTTAATTACCTATACTTGGTTCAAATGATTTTGTAAAGGTAGGATAAAGTGAGAAAAAGTATGCAGTTTAAATATTTGGCTCTTCAAGTGAGGTTGGAATAATCCATTTTAAATGTGTGGGCACAATTTAAATATTGCTTTTAGAAGTCTAAGAATTGGAAACTTACATTATAGTTTGTATAAATATGAGAATATAATGTATAAAACATAATAAAGGAAATACATTTAAATAGTAGATGATCCTGCAATTGTTTCTCAGATGAACAGAGTTCTCTTAACTGTCTAAGATAATGTCACAGAATGCTACATTTTGCATTGTGTCTGCTGTGGTCAGTGTATGGAGTGATAAAGAGATATGCTATTGTATCACCCACTATGGATCATTGACATCATTCTTTGTTCTGAAGATAAGAGGATGGGTGTAACTATAGAGCTAGCCAATGGAAAATGATTAGGTGATTTTTTTTCTATCTTTTCCTTCTTCTTTAACGTTAAAATCACTGGAAAGAATAGTTTATTTAGGGACTGTCTCATACATCTGAGCTAACCTGAACCAACCATGACTTTCACTACTGCTGAGAAGGCCTCTATAACCTCTATCCGGTCCAAAGTGGCTGGTCATGAGAGTGACATTGGAGCAGAGGCTTTGGAAAGGTAATAAAATATATAAATGTATTATTATTATTCCTAGAATTTGATCACATTTCTTCTTTCTGTTGCTATGGCAGCTTATCATTATTCCTTACTACTTATTGTAGTAAGGAGTAATGATAGGCCATAGATTTTCGCCTAGAAACATTGCTGTTTATTCAGTGCTAACAGAAAAAAAAACCTTTACTCAAAACGTTTAATTTTATTTTGAGTGAATATTAATTAAAATAATGTACATACTATGGGGGAATGTATCAATACTGGAGCAGAAGAATCTGGTGCAGTTGCCCAGGCCACCAATCAACTTGTCTCTTCAGTTTGTTCAGTTAACCTCCCTGGCGGTATGATTATTCAGGATTTTAGAAGCCAGACTCAGGAATACCGCCAGGGAGGTTAAAAAGATAGAAGCTAATTGGTTACCGTGCACAGCAGCTCCAGATTTTGTCTGCTCCAGTTTTGATAAATTCCCCCCAATATATTTGCAGATAATGTACTGATGTGCTGAAGTTTTTCCACTGAGCACATTCCTTCTTTTGAGTTTATTTACAAAAGGAGTAAGTGAATGTGCACTTTAAAAAGTGTATGTTGGTTAACTGAAGTGAACAAAGCTTCACTATATTCACTAAACTTAGTTTAATTTTGCAAAGTGAATATTTATTTTCTTAAGTGACCAGTCCTTATTCCTTTAGTGAATCAACCTCAGTCTGTCACAGGGGTAATGACCTTACATGTGCTGATAGTATGAAGTTGTTTAAAGCAGAACTCCAGGGAAAATTTTCTCTTAACCCTTGGAGTAGGGTTACATCCCCACTGCAAGGGTTCAGTGCTAGATTAAAAAATAAAGTTATACTGACCCGATCCTCCGAGCCAGCTTGCTATTGTACTGGTCCCTCCCGCCTCTCTCCTACTCCGCTCCAGGGAAGGTATGTCCCTCAGTGTCCTTATGTTCTATACACTTTATAGAACATGATGACTCACAAGAACTTAGACCACTGCAGCGAAGGGGACAGAGGTGGAAGGGACCAGTCTAAGAGCAAGCTAGCTCAGAGGATCAGGTGAGAATAACTTTGTTATTTTTCACCTAGACAGAAACGAGCTCTTAATACTTGCAATGCAGGGGTATCCCCACTGCAAGGGGTAAGAAAAAATTTCCTGATGCTCTGTTTAACTAAAATATTAGAGATCGTTAATTTGAATGTTCACTTAGCTTAGCCAATAAGATGAAGCTGTGTTCACTTCAATAATGAAATCATGTCTAAGAGAAATTATGTTTTGCTGTATTCCCTTGCAATTTACTAACCAAAGTAAATAAACATTTTGCAAAGTGAACTTTTATAATTGATTAATGAGTATTGATGGGCCGAACATGCCCGAGTTTGGTTCGAATTTGAACTTTAGAACATCCAAAAAGTTAAAGAGGGCTTTTATGCAAGTTATTGGCCATAAAAGGTTGTATGGGGATCCGGGTGCTGCCCTGGGGGACAGGAATCAATGAAGAAAAAAAGCTGTTTTTAAAGGAGCAGTGATTTTAACATCACTTAAAGGGTAACAATAAAAATGAGAAATTATTCTAAATATCGTGCCGGGGGGGTCCCCTTTAACCTGCCTGTAAAGTGGCTCATCTGTACAATGTATAGAACCTGCTGCAGCAAAACTGACATTTCTGAAGAAAAAAAAATGATTTTTTTTTTCTTTAAGCGTGCATTTCCCCCTCCCAAACAATACCAGACCCTTTAGGTCTGGCAAGGAATTTTAGGAGGTTTGTGGGGTTCCCCCTTAACCACTTGCCGTCCGCCCGTTGTAAAAAAAACGGACGGACGGCACTGCTGCACTGGAGACGGCAATTTTTTTCTGCAAGAGGGACCCCATGTAAAAAAAAAAAAAAAAGTGTGTGGGTTTCCCCCTTAAAGTCACTTGTACCTGTACCCCTACCCATTCACTAAAGGGTTAAATAAAAGTGTAAATAAAAAGTCGAGACTTTTGAAAAAATCCTTTATTTGGAAAAAAAAACAAGACATGTTTTCGACAAGTCTTCCATTAAAAAAACAAAAATTTATCCACCGATGTAATCTAACGTCAATCACATTGTCCAGCGTTGTCCACGACCAAGACAACTCGACAACATAAAAAATAAAACAATAAAAAAAATAGAAATAGTAATAATTAAAAAAACCCAGATGAACACCCGCCGCAGAATGGCATTTTGACAGATGCCGGTAACATATAAAAATTTGGGTGGAGCTAGCAGTGACAGCTAGCTCCGCCCAACTGTTTACAGTGGTAACAGGGTGAGCCATGCTAGGGTAGAGTCATCATGACTTTGCCCAATCATGGCTCTCACTGTTCTCTGTGCCCTGATTGGGCAAAGTCTTGCAACTGACCTGTGGTCAGGTGCAAGGCTTTAGCCAATTAGGGCTCACAAGGCACAGTGCCTTGTGTGGGGTGCGCTGCTGGTGAACAGCCAGCCGAACACCCTGACAGTTTATGTGATCCGTCCTTAGATCCCCTTTTCTCCAACTTCCATCTGAATCACACTGCAGACATTGATTAGTTATCTATAACCTGTCACTGGGAGTTCTCTGACCCGGGTGGTGCCATCCTGGCCCTATGACCAGACGGTAAAAAGAGAAGCAGCTGACAAATGAGCTTATCTTTCAATTACTCTGCTCCCTGCTCCTATCGGCATGCTTATTGAACAGTAACACACCGGATTGGCTCCTCGTGCTATTTCCTCCCGTCACACTTCAGGGCCAGGCCTGCTGAACAAGCGCTGCAAGAGGCTGATACCGGGTCACATTCAGATGGAAGTTGGAGAAAAGTGGATCTAAGGACAGAGGACGCTGAAAGTCATTCCGACTTCATGTTAATTGCATTCTGGTTGAAAAAAAGCGTATATTGGTTGTTAATATACGGCCACCCTTTTGTGGTGAGTGTATACCCATTAGGGGAACCTCTTCTGTGAAGCACGTTAAGGAGCACGGACTTCTTTTTTGAAACACATTTATTTGTTTTTGCATACAGTTGGGGGACTTGCACGGATTTGGAAATAAGTTTTTTTCCTCCTCTGTTTCATCTTATATTTTACCAAAGTTTCACTGTTATTTCATTTATTGTATAGATTCTTTTGGAATCATGTTTATGTCATGATGTAATTTAACAATTATTAATTTTCACATAGGTTTACAGAATTTATACTATAGCACAGTCATATAAATGTCTTGTTTACATTCATAATATAATATCAACACTTTTTAGTATGTTTAGATTCACAGTAAGGTTCTGAGTGCTGTATTAATTATTCCTCTGATAATTAAGGCTTCACAACCTTGATATAGCAGCTTTTAACCTTTTAATTTAACTTTTGTGAGACGTTCTATTTTCCATTAGCACAAATTTTCTACCATTATGACAACACAATGTGACAGGATAACAACAATAAGGAAGACAGTTGTAACCCCATAACAGGGAGTTATAAAATGAAAGCTGCAGATTTACAAATATTTAAAACAATTTCAGAAATTATATTAATGTGTTATACCTTGCATAAATCATTGGGTTTATATCTACTTTGAATGGCACTATTTTTTCAATATTTTAGCACACTGCCTTTTAGACCTCTAATGATGAATAATAAACATGTGGTTTTTCCAATCCAGGTTGTTTCTGAGCTTCCCTCAGACGAAAACCTACTTTAGCCATTTTGACCTAAGTCATGGCTCCAAGGATCTCCAAAACCATGGTGGAAAGGTTGTAAAAGCCATTGGAAGCGCTGCCCAACATCTGGATGATCTTGACTATGCTCTGTCCTCCCTCAGTGAGCTTCACGCCCACAAACTCAGGGTTGATCCTGGCAACTTCAGAGTATGTTGATCTTTAACCCCTTCATGACTGAGGCCCTTTTTTCCATTTTTGCACCCATGTTATATTCCACATTTTAGGCCTGAAAATGACGTAAAAATAAGGGTTAGTCAAGCCCAGTTTTTATAGTTTATAGTCTCTAATATCTCTGGTGAGAAATATGGTTTCCCCACTTGCCCCCTCTGCCCCACCACTATTATCAGTAATTCTCATCTTTCAAAATGAACTGTATTGCAATAGATATAGTATATATTGACTATTTTGTTCATATGAAGTGTACATGGATGTCTCTTAGAGAATTATTCACAAAGCTAGCCTAAGGACCTTCGGCTGGCTTCGGCCGCTTGAGCCTAAAGGGCTCCTGTTCGGCCGCTTGAGCCTAAAGGGCTTCTGTACGAGCCTAAAGGGCTCCTGTTCACTATAGCCCGTACAGCTCCCGAAGCTGGCCAAGCGGCTCAGCCGAGCCAAAGGCATATGCTTCGGCTTGACTGAGCGGAAGTGAAACCCCGAAGTGGGCCGATCGGCTGGCCATTGGCCGGCCTAAAGCCTCGCAACTGACAGCTGGGTGGAACCAGCCGTGATCTCACGGCTGGCTCTGCCCAGTTGCAATGACAGATCAGCAGTTGCAATGACAGACCACGGAGGTGCCGAGCATGTGCTCGGCGGCATTCGGCTATTCACTCATTACCGGTCGGCCCTTATGAGAATAGGCCGAACAGCAGCGAGTAGCCTGCCGGGGGTTCGGCTCAGCCAATCCACATGTTGGATCGGCTGAGTCAAACTCCTTCTGCATTTCGGCTCAGCTGAACATGCTGAGCATGTTCAGCCGAACCAAGGCCAGCCGAAGCAAGCCGATGTGCAGCTGATTTCAGCCGTTGTACAGATGAAATCAGCCGTACAAGCCTGAAGTGAATAGCCGAACAGTGTTCGGCTCACTTCACTTTGGGTCGGCTGTTCACTCGGCTGCTTTCAGCAGCTTTGTGAATAACCCTCTTAATCTACACATAACTTCCCCTTAATAACTCTTAATTAATCTTAAACAGCCCTAATTTACTCCGTTCTCCCTTCTCTTGTTAGCTATTATTATTCTGCTGTTTTTATTTTATTATTTTATATCAAAAATAGGGTAAAAGTGTTTTTTTTCATTCTGATTCATTTTGTTTATTATTCTTTCAGTGTCACATACAAAAGTCTAAAGTTTAAATAAAAAACACTTGTTTTTGCAAATAACTTTGCAATGCTACTTATTTTAACACTTGTCAAATTAGAAAAAAAATTGTTTATAGATTGCATAGAAATAAAAGTTTAGACAAGACAAAATGCCAAACGAAAGCCTATTGTCCCCAGAAATAATGCATGCATTTAATAGTTATCTTACGTTATGACAAAGTTATTGCTGAATAAACACACCCATAGCAGGCATGTATAAATTGTTTAAGTCCATATAGGGTATACAGGCACAAGAGTTAAAGTTTTTAAAATAACATGCACAAATATATACATAAAAGGTAGTTTTGTTAATAGCTATTGAATTTTCAGTGATTTTACATGACTGTTTTGTTTCCATTGCAGTTGCTGTCCCATGCTATTCAGGTGACTCTGGCTATCCATTTCCCTATCCAATTCACTGCTGATGCCCAAGCTGCCTGGGACAAGTTTCTATCTGCTGTGTCTTCCATCCTGGTGTCCAAATACAGATAAACCTAATTTCTCGTTCTGAAAAGTTCCGCTGAAATTATTTAGTCAATGTAAAAACTATAAATAAACTAAGTCTGTAATTGTCAGTATGTTTTGCTGTTGGTTGAGATGCTTATCTACAGACCCCACTGCCATGCTCATGCACTGCACAGGTAATTTGGGGTATGGTAAAAATAAATGGCACCACAATGCAATGCAGTATGTGTGTTGCGGTAAAACACAGTATAACTGCATAGGGTACATGTACACGGCTGATTTTTGCTAAAGAAATGAGGGCCCATGATTGCCCAACATATAATGCCCAGAGATTAGAACAGATCATTTACCACAAATGGCCATTTTTTTTTCCTTTAACAAAATGTCATATGCCAAAAAAATACAAAATGCCCACACCAAATCCATGCCTGACCCTTATTTCTGATTAGGGTCTGATATACATATTAACAACTTGAGTACCAACCTGTATCACCCCTGCATTACCAGGCCATTTTTCAGTTTCCAGTGCTGTGATGGAGGAGGTGGTTAACGGGTTAATATACAGTGGGGAATGGAGATAAAGGGGCTAATGTGTATATGTGCAGGATAAGGGAGGTAAAGGAGTTAATATGCAGATCACATATATACAGGCTGGAGATCAATAACATAGCAGCATTTGCAGCCTTAGGCCTAATCCGCATGGGCAATAAAACTGCAGCGTTGATGTGTAGTTTTACTGCACCCACAGCTGCCTGCTGCAATGGTAGCAATGTAGCTGCACAGTGCTGGATACATTGCTTCAGCTGCAATGGTTTGTATCGTGTCGTAGAAAAAATATATACTGCATGTCACTTTTGATAGGCAGTGCTGCTTGCCGAACGCTACATTTGGAATGAATGGGACTGCTCTGCAACCACGGTGTTTCAATAGAAAATCCCATTGGGATTTTAAAAAAACTGCATTAAGGCCCCATTCACACTTGGTGATTCGCAAATCGTGCGTTTGTTGCGCGATTTGCATTTTGCGCGATATCGCACGATTTGTCACGCAAAAGCTTGCATTGAAAAGCATTGAATCGCGGCAAAATCCGCTCCAAAAGGGGTCCTGCTGTAGCGACGCACGACCCGCGACAGCAGGACCCTTAGCCCCATTGCCATGCATTGGAGAGCAATATCGCGCGGTAAATAGCCGCGATATCCCGGGAATTACCGCGCAATAAATTGCTCAGTGTGAACGGGGCCTAAGTAAGCACCAGTACCGCCTCCAGAACACCAGGCACCCGCTGATCCACCGCCCTCTGAAAAGCAATCTACAGTGGTGAGTGCAGCCTTTCTGAATGAGGCCCTTCTGTGTTTAGGAACTAATGGATGACTCATTCATTCATTAGATTCTGTTCCCTCTCCTTTCTTTATTGTAAGAGGTAGGGGAGGGTTTACAGATGTAAATCCCACACTATTTACATCTGTGAGTGCTGTGATTGGTCTTTCTATGACCAATCACAACAATTAGAGTGTACAGAGAAGGGCTCAGTTTACTGCCATTAATGGGCGCACTGGCCACTTGACATTTTTTCTGCTGTGGCATTTAAAAATTGCATAATAGAAATAAGCATTGATCACTTCACCGTCCACACACATACAGCATTAGGGAAGTGACTAAAGGGGTGGTTCCCCCTAAATATCCACACCAGACCCTAATCTTTGATTTGCCCCTTCCTTCCCCATGTTTCCAGGGACAAGGCTGCTTCCTCTCATCCAGTCCCGAAGAGGATGTGGGGGTTTTCAAGGGCGGCTTTTCGGAACTTTTAAGAAAAGGTGGAGTCAGGACCCCAGATATCCACCCCCTCTCCTATATAAATGAATAAGGGGTACATAGTATACGCAGCTTAGTGTACATTCTGAAAAACAATTGTCAACAGTCAGGTAAGTTTGTTTCTGCAATGAAGCTCCTGTCTGCTTGCTTGTAGTTTTTATTGTTTTTATGTTCGTTTTGCTTTATATGTCCCATCATGCACGTCCTATCAGCTACCCAAACGATGGCATGTGACATGACATGAACACCATCAACTGTGCATGCATTAGAAGGACGGGACTGAGGAAATGCGCACCAGCAGAAAGACCCACCCAGGGCACTGCCCTCCACATTCTAATAAGCAGAGGGCAAGAGGCCCATAGGGAAGTGTCCCAGCAAGGAACACTGTCTAAAGACGCCCGCTCAGATCTAGAGAGCTCCCAGCCGGCCGTTTTTTAACTACGGCCGGCCGGGAGGCAGTTAATTAACATTGGGGGGAGGGAAAATATTTTTGACTTTAATGTTACTTTAATGTCTAAAACGCTGGCAACAAAAGTGAGTACACCCCTCAGTGAAAATTTCCAAATTGGGCCCAAAGTGTCAATATTTTGTGTGGCCTTCATTATTTTCCAGCACTGCCTTAACCCTCTTGGGCATGGAGTTCACCAGAGCTTCACAGGTTGCCACTGGAGACATCTTCCATGACGACATCACGGAGCTGGTGGATGTGACCTTGCGCCCTCAGCTTCTTTAGCAAGGCAGTGGTCATCTTGGAGGTGTGTTTGGGGTCGTTATCATGTTGGAAAACTGCCCTTCTGCCCAGTCTCCGTAGGGAGGGGAACATGCTCTGCTTCAGTATGCCACAGTATATGTTGGCATTCATGGGTCCCTCAATGAACTGTAGCTCCCCAGTGTAGCTCCTCTACCGGCAGCACTCATGCAGCCCCAGACCATGACACTCCCACCACCATGCTTGACCGTAGGCAAGACACACTTGTCTTTGTACTCCTCACCTGGTTGCCGCCACGCACACTTGACACCATCTGAACCAAACAAGTTAATCTTGGTCTCATCAGACCACAGGACCTGGTTCCAGTAATCCATGTCCTTAGTCTGCTTGTCTTCAGCAAACTGTTTGCGGGATTCCTTGTGCAACATCTTTAGAAGAGGCTTCCTTCTGGGACGACAGCAATGCAGACCAATTTGATGCAGTGTGCGGTGTATGGTCTGGGCACTGATAGGCTGACCCCCCACCCCTTCAACCTCTGCAGCAATGCTGGTGCGACATATACTTCTATTTCCCAAAGACAACCTCTGGATATGACGCTGAGTATGTGCACTCAACTTCTTTGGTCGACTGTGGCAAGGCCTGTTCTGAGTGGAACCTGTCCTGTTTAACCGCTGTAGGGTCTTGGCCAGTTTTAGGGTCTTGGCAATCTTCTTATAGCCTACGCCATCTTTATGTAGAGCAACAATTCTTTTTTTCATATCCTCAGAGAGTTCTTTGCCATAAGGTGCCATGTTGAACTTCCAGTGACCAGTATGAGAGAGTGAGAGTGATAACACCAAATTTAACACACCTGCTCCTCGTTCACACCTGAGATCTTTTAACACGAACGAGTCACATGACACCGGGGAGGGAAAATGGCTAATTGGGCCCAATTTGGACATTTTCACTTAGGGGTGTACACATTGTAGCAAAGTGTCATTTTTTCTGTGTCGTCACATGAAATTATATAATAAAATATTTACAAAAATGTGAGGGTTGTACTCACTTCGGTGAGATACTGTACATTGTTTTTTTCAGGACAGATAGAACTTTATGTTGGTAGCACATTTTTCCCAACACATCTACATAATTTGCACACAACCCCATATATTTATCCCAAAATATAACCAACGGTGTCCACTGATTGAAATTATTTCACATTAGTGTGACTTTTATGTAACATAGTGGAATGGTAAAGCGAATGAGCATTTTCCTTTAGGAGACGTTTATTACCTTTTCAAAGCTACACTGCAATGCACACAAAAGAAAAAAAAAACACTCCGAAAATTGTTAGCATAACAATAATATATAATTATTATTAGCATAATGATCACAAGTTTGTGATCAATAAAAATGCAAATGACTTGCATTTACTTAAATGAGCATTTGATGCTTGTGTATTCTGTTGACATCTACAGCATGCTACTATGATAATTTTAGCTCCTGGGTGTAGCACTAGATCCTGGCTGTCACAATCAGTCGGCGGTTCCATCCTACATGCCAGCAGGAGCAGGCAAGAACCGCTGAGACTGACTGCCATTTTAAAATGGTGGCTAGGACTCAAGTGGTTAAAAAAAGAAAGAGATTCTAGTGAAGGCAGATGGCTCTTTACCCACCAACTTGTACAGCATCTCTTGCTTAGCAGGAATTGCTCATATGAAGATGCAAATCTACTTATGGACAAACTTCTTAAAAGAGGTTACCGATAAACTGTTGAAAATGACATATCATTAAGCTAGTTATAAATGTGGGCAGGACTTGCTTATTAATGTTAAACCACGTTCAATCATAAGATACGATGTAGGCGGCTATCGTTTCTGGGATATTTCCACCTGAATGGGAAAATGTATTTCTCAAACTGAACACGAACCAGAAGTGGGATTATTTCAAGAATACATTAAATAAGGCTATTACCAAGTGTATACAATTGGGTAACCAAAATAAAAGATCAATAACTAAACCTGTTTGGTTAAATAAGACAGTTAAACAACACATCAAAGACAAGAGCGTGGCATTTAAAAAATATAAGATGGAGGGGACGGCTCTGGCATTCCAGAACTACAGGGATTGTAATAAGAGATGTAAACATGAAATTCGTGCAGCTAAAATAGAGTGTGAGAAGCATATTACCACAGTTAGTAAAAGGAACCCCCAAAAATGCTACCAATATATAAACAGTAAAAAGGTAAGAAAGAAGCAGATAGGCCCAATAAAGGATGAAAATGGGAGATTAGTCACAAACGACAGGGAGAGGGCAGAGGTGTTGAATTCCTTTTTCTCCTCATTATACACTCGGGAGACGCATGGGTTGAATGTAGATAAGAATGCAAGTGTCTTGATGCAAAATATGCCTCAGTGGTTGACGGAAGCGGGGGTTCAACAAAGACTTGAAATACTCAACGCCAATAAAGCCTTAGGACCAGATAACCTGCACCCCAAGGTACTTAAAGAACTCAGCAGGGTTATA